GTGTATCTATACTATCTATCTATATATATATATATATATATATATATTATTATCACTGTATCATATATAAAGGACTGTCACTCATGGACTTCATGACTAAAGTAGATATGGATTTTTTGGCCATCCCTACTGACCTGTGATTCTTACAATTACAGTATTTCTGCTTTTCAAAATAGGGAAATGCAGATGCCCATTGCACTGTCTCCAGTGTGTCATTTCTCTGGACCCCCAAACCATATCCCCTCTTTCATCTAGTGAAGCATGGAAGTCCTTACCACTTCCAGTTCCCAGTCACTGGAGTGGTGGACCATGGAGGTTTCCTCAGGAGTGGGATTTGTATGATAAAACAAACTTCATAGTCATATGTACCCACTCCCCAAAGCACTTCTCCCAGATGTTTTTTGCCTGGGTTGACCACACTTGTAGATCATGAAATAACCTGGAGGACTGCACTTGTTGATCTGTTATTATATTATAATCCAGATATAAAAAAGTTCAATCATATGGAAGAATCTTACACTGGATGTTTTCTGCCTGGATGGACTGCACTTGACATACTCTATAATATCACAAGATGCTTCCCCCAGATGTTTTTGCAAGGGCTGACTGCACTTGTTGATCACAAATTCAGTTACGAACGAAATATGAAAAGTACATTCTTATGCAAGGCACTTCCACTGGATGTTTTCTGCCCAGATGGACTGCACTTGACATAATCTGATGTTGACCATGGTGCTTCTCCCAGATGTTTTGCCCAGATGGACTTCACTTGACATAATCTGATGTTGACTATGGTGCTTCTCCCGGATGTTTTGCCCATGCTGATCACATTCCACTGTTGTTTTTGCTCAGATGGACTGCACTTGGCATAATCCATTGTATCCCAAGGTGTTTCCCGGGATGTTTTCTGCCTGGACGGACTACAGTTGACCTATCCATATATGGTCCTTTAGCCCTAGCCATATATTTTTATATCAGATTACAGGCATCTTCTTGAAATCCAACTATCATTGTGTCACATGCTCATGCTCATTGCATATGTGGATGTCTTGCATACTATCTGTTGTCCATGGGTGTAATCTGTCTTATATGACATGTTGCCTGTCTATTAAGTTCCACACTATGTGTTTTACTTTGTTTGTTACTGGGCAAAGAGCATACTTGTTCCAGAAGTAATGCTATACCCCACGGGTGTGCCTCCTTTTATAATTGTGGTATCATTGTTCTTTCATGGCAGTTATTCTCCATTTGTTCGATTATTTTTACACTTTCACCGGCCCCCTCCACCTTTGCAATGTGGGATTCTAGCTTTGGGTGAGAGGAGGTAGTAACATTTCATAAGTTAACATTTTCTAACACTGAAAATGTATTTCCGATAGGTACTTACCTTCTCTCACCCTTTTTTTCCCCACTGATTTGCCACTTTTTCTGGTTTGTATTTGCCAATTCCCAAAAGTGAGAATTGTGCTGCAGTGGTATTAGTATAGATGCTGCACTAGTATAGAAGGCATAGTATGATTGGTGGAGGGTAGTCACATAATCAGCACACATTGTTACTATGGTGCAGAAATGAAGAGGTATAATGGTGCACTGTCGAAAATTTTAGCAATGCTAAATCAAGCAAATCAAGGTCAAAATAGCTTTGGGTGAGAAGATGTAAGTACCTATTGGAAATACATTTTCATTGTTAGAAAATGTTAACTTTTGTCAGGTACTATAAATCTGTTATAAAGTTAAATAAATGTTTAGTTTCTGGATATTACTTTGATAAGTTCAAGGTATTAATGTACTTGGCCAGTGAAATTTATCACAAACCATTGCAAATTCTTTACATTGAGAAAGGAGTATAGTGAAAAGAATAGATATCTGTAATAACAAATATAAAGGTACAAATAAAATCACTTTTATGAAAGTTCTAGATAATGATATCTTATGAAATCTAACTTTTTTTTTAATTTTTCAATTTTCTACATACATCACACATCATTAATTATTAAGATAATGTTTATACACTAGAAACTTAATGGTTGAAACTTCTAGAAAATATAGATAAGGAATAATAAGCTAAGTGAAGATCATGGGATAAAAAGTTAAATTAGACGTGTTTTCTTTAAAGCCCTAGGTATGATTTACAATGATTGCTTAGCTACTTCCCTTCAGAACTACAAAGAAGAAGAGATAAAGGAACTCAACAAACAGTTAAATAGATTCCGTTTAATCCATCAATGTCCAGAAAGAAGAAAAGAGTTTGACTCTTCTGATCCCCGACAGATAACAGAAAAAACCCCAAGTGATGATGGCAGCGTTTCAGGAGCTCAAAAGTAAACTTTACTTTTTTTCTGTACCTATCTACCTTCCTTGTTTCTAACAGATTTAATGAAAAAGCTATTGATTATTTAAAAAAACTTGTAAAATGGGTAAATGGAAAGATGAAAAAGAAAAAAAAAGAAAAATTATAATGTTTTGTAAAAGTTTACTTGTCATCATAAGTTCCAATGTATGTGTGAATGTTGAAGAAAATATAACAGTTTAAATGAACTAGTTATGAAGCAGCTGAAGTACCATTGGTGAATAAAGAATATAGTAGGTATCCAGGATATTTGTTCATAAATAGTTTTTATTTCTTATTTAATAGGGCTTCCTTTTTTTTTACTTTGATAGTTGTTGTTTTCCTTATAAAGTATGGTTTGATGGGAGTTAGCTACCTTTATGCAGTCTTCAGACTTGTTGTCCTCACATACCATGCATGGGTATACCTATCAATGTGTATATGGATTTGGACAGCCTGTTTCTTCCTCCTGCCTATGCCTCACAGTTATGTTTCATTTCAGGGGAGGTGTCCCTTTGTTGACTTAATCAATCAGGTGTATTATGTTTTATCCTTGTCCCCCATTTCCTAAGATTCCTCTCCTGCCCTGCTCAGTGACAACCCAGTGGGACAGTTTTTAGTGTTTCCTCCCTCACCAGATATTGGGATTCATGCAGTTGTTTTGGGGACCAGTTATATTTGGGAGCTAGTATGCCTCAACCTCTGTGTATTCTGGGCACCCATGCTTTGGCATATGATTATTCTAATTTTTTTATACTTAGACTTCAAGCATTTTGGGTCACTTGTCCCTTTGTGGGGTTTGGACCCTAATACTTCAGTTTCCTTTTCCCAGCCCCAGGTTTCCTGAATTTATCTCACCTTCTCCTCCCTTTAATCCATGTCATCCCTACATCTGCTCTCCATGGTTCTTCATCTTCCCTAAGGGGTTCTCAGTAGTGGCTCGGAATCTCCTGTTTTCCACCCTGGCATGTCTCTCCTCTTCCACCCTTTCCTTTCAAACATGACTTCTCTATTGTTGAGACCTTTTTGATTGGAATGCCTGTTTGGCTCAGGTCAAAGCTATATGTAGAGAGAGATTGGCCAACTGGGTAACTGTTTTTTTTTTATTGGTCCAGAGTTGACACCCCCCACATGCTGCCATTTAGGTTCACTTTGAATGAACAAATTACTTCAACAGCAGACAACATGGTATGTAAACACAGTACTTTCTATGAAGGCACTTAAAATCTGATTCACAACAAATAGTGGAAGTTGCTGAAAAATTATTAAAAAATGTCTTGCTGTGCTGCCTGGGGTTGCAGCAATCCAACAGAAAATGGTGTCTGTTTGTTTGGCTTTCCGGCAAATCTGGAAAGGAGAAAAATTTGTGAAGCGAAAGTTGGAAGGGCAGATTGGAGATCACAAGCAAACAGAACAAAACTGTGTGAGGTAATGTAGATCAAGTAACAGAAAAGGTGCTAAATTTCACTCATATTAGATAACTTTTTGTAAAATATCTTTGAAATGGGGGATAAAATGCATCTATATCATGGAAAATCCGTGCTGAAGTGTTTCAATATACCAGAACTTGAATTGTTGGCTGACAAAAGTCACTTAACTCAGCCTAATGTAATGTTATGTCTATGATCATTAATATTAACTTTAGGCTACAATATCATTTCTTGCTAACATTTAAGTTTGGTCTGGCCAAGCCGAGGCCAAATTAAGTCCCTATAAATTACACAAAGTATATCAAGCTGCCATTAATATACCGAAGAGTGTTTCCATATAGTTAAGGCTGTAGCCTAAAGGGAAAATTTAGACCCAACATGAATCACTGAAATGCAGAATCTAATATTATTAGACCTAATGCTAGGCTAAGCTATTTGTAAGTTAGCCTATATTGCTGACTTAAAGGCTAACCTAGGCTAAGCCCACATATGGAGCAAACATTTTGGCTTTCAAATTTTGCATATTTAATCTGCCATGTGTTGTTGATTTTGCACAGCATTTTTCCAATTTTGTAGAGCATTTTTATGGAATTTAGATTCCTTAGTCACAATACTGGGCCTAGGCCTGTTTAAAAAAATGTTGATTAAATATACTCAAGAGAACATCAAATGTATTTGTTCAAGAAAAATATAGCTCTATTCTTCAATAATTAGCACTCCAACAAACATAAAATATCCATCGCTTTCCTCACAAACACTACTTTTATACAGGTTTTGTCAATTTTACAGAACTGGTAACAGGCTACAGGTAGACCTATCATGGCTTCCAATTTCAGGAATGACATTACAAGTTGTCAGTTGGCCAAACTCTCTCTGTATGTGGCTGTGGCTAAGGTGTGTTTATCTCCCTCTACTTTGTGTATTTGTGGATGTTTTTTTTCTGCATGTGGGGTTTCTTGTGGCATTCCCAACTCTTTGGACACCAGGGTTGTGTCAAGATGGTTGCTTACCTCCCTTTCTTCCTTAGACTCCCATTCTCCCAACCCCCTCCTGTACCTGTAACTGTTTCTCACCTTCCTCCTTCCTCTCACTTCACCCTTCCAGCTTTTTGTATTCCTGCAGTTTGCCATTGGTATTTGGTGGCCATCATAGGGGCAACCAATGGTCTTGGTGTCTACATTGTGGGTTTGGGTCCTGTGGTAGCTAGGCTCCTCCACTTTGTCCACATATGGTGTCCTTTGCCATGAACTCTTGGGGTCTGAGGTTTGTCTCAGAATGTCGGGTCGTCCATTTTGATTTTCTTCTTCTGTTGTCTCTACATCCAATTTCCTTTCCCAATCCTTGGGATTCCATTTCCAGCCAATGTCCTCCTGAGGTGGTTTGGGTCCTGCTTCACATGGGTGCTATCACATGAGGGGATTCATCTCCTCTAAGGTTTTATTCCTATGTGTTTGTTGACTCAAGGCAGTCTGGAGACTGGTGCTCTTTCGTCTCTGAACAGCTTCTTGGTCTTGCCTTATTTCACCCTAGAGTTGTACTTGCCCTTTTATTGGGCTTTCACTCTTCGTATATGGAGGACATAGGTTGATGTTTTGGATGCATATCTTCCCATTCCCATCTTCTCTGGATCAAACATTCTCTTTGTTTCATCCATTAGAGTTTTCTGTTTGTGCTCACCTTGACTCCCTACATTTTTTATCGGGTGGTCTGGGCTTTTACTCATTTTCTTCGTTTTTCCCATTACATGGATGACTAGCTACTTCTAGCTTCTTTGTAGGCTGCCTATGCCCTTTATCCTCAGTTTCTATTGTGAGAAGCTGCTTGAGTTGGTTGGTTGTTGAAGGTTGAGAGGTCTTTCCTCACCCCCTACATAATACATCATTCATTTTGAGGTATTGTTCAGTTCCATATTTCGTCGGGCCCAGCCTTCTCTCCTTCATTTGCGGGCTATGGAGCTACTGGTTCTCAACCTATCCTCCTTTCCTTCTCCCACTGTGTGAGAGGTTCTATCTCTTCTGATGTCATGGGCTTCTCTAGAAGTCCTCATCCCTCTTGGTTGTGTCCACTTGTGTTGTCTTCAGTGGGTTTTGATGGACCATTTAAGCTTCATTTGAGATCCCTTGAAAGCCCCTCTCCTCCTTCTTTCCAACCAACGTTTCCTGGTGGTTGGAACGAGACAATACCATTTTGGGTATACCTCTTCTTCCTCCTCATCCAGAATGTCACCTCTTTATAGATGCTTCTCTTTCCAGTTGGGGTGCTTACCTGGATTCTAGGGAGGTTTAAGGGTAGTGGACTCTCTCAAGAGTTCTCTCTCCATAGCAGTTTCCTGGTGCTCCTTGCAGTTTGTCAAGCTTTGGTTCACTTCCTTCTAGGCTGGTTGGTGATGGTTCCTTCTGACAATGCTAGGTAAGTGGGTGCTAGATTGAGAGACCCCTGTTTTCAGACACTGAATCTCCTGTATTGGGCCTGTGGGGTGTTCCAGACCTCGATGATTTTGTTGTACATCTCAATTTCCAACTCCCATGGCTTTGGTCTTTTGGTTTACAGCCATTGGATAGGCTTCTCCCTGTATACCTACCCTCCCATCCATCTGCTTCCCCTGATCCTATCCATCATCCCGATCTCTCTGTGTCATATTTCACACCTTTATGACCTTTCTGACCCTATTAACCTCCTCTGCCTGGTCAGGGCTCTCTGCTGTTATGTGGTGTGCACTACTTCCTTCCGTGATTCCCATTCCTATTTGTTTATTCATTGATATCTTTCCCAGTCCTGTGACCTTTCTCCTACTACCCTTCCAGGTTGGATTTGCTAATTTCTTCACCTGGCTTATTCTTCCCTTTCACAGGATGATTGTCGTCTTTCTTTGTCTCTTCACATCACCTCCTTCACCTTCCCCTGTCTTTGACTGCTCATTATCTTCACCACCTGTACATTCCTTGTTTTACAGTTTTGTCTTTCTCCCATAGCCATTTTACACTCCAAAATTGCTCTATGAGTGGGTAAATGCTTCTTTTTTTCTACTTTTTTCTTTGCAGGGGCTCTTTTCGCATCTCTGGATCCTGCTTTGTAGTGAGTGTTGTCTGACCAGGTATACTTATTCTTAAATCAGCACTGTAAGACCTGTTTGTCAAATATGCCCACCATTAAGATGGGGTGTTCTGCTTGTAGGTATTCCTCATGGTATTTTTGCTTCATAAAGATGTTTGTCCTAGACCGTATGCTGATGGACTAATATGAGTAAAGCAGTTGGTGATTACTACCCATCCCTGATTATCTGTGTCAATGTGGGTCGCTGGACTGGTCTGCTTTTCAAAATAAAGTATCATGGTCACCAATTGCACTGTCTCCAGTGTAGCATTCCTCTGGACTTTCCATTGCACTGTTCCCTCCTTCTTCTAGTGGAGTATGGAAGTCCTTACCACTTACCAGTTCCTAGCCACTGAGGTGATGGACCATGGAGGATTCCTTCTGAGTGTGCTCACTCCCACTCAGTTGAGAGTAGGGTGGAGGTGTTCTGTCAGTGTAGATGGCATTTACACTTAACCTACTGTGGACCTGATGTACAATGATGCATTCCACCAACATGCAGTTCACCCCTCCAGCTGAGACACCCTCCTCCTACCATCTGGCTGATATGGTGATGGTTGTGTTGGATGTGCTCACATGATAATGCAGATCATTGTTACAGAGGCTCCTCTTCTCTACCAGTTCCCGTATCTGAAGTGAATGGTAGAGGTCCCTCTTTCTACAATGGGTTGGATAATACCTATCATGGTTCGACTGGTATCAGTTGAGATAGATCTCCCATTTACAGTCTGATGTGCCCTAGCCACTCTACACTTGGGCTCACTTTATTTCCTTTAGTTCATTTCTTAATATTTCTTGGGGTTCCTCCTTTGTTTCTGCCCTTATTGTGACACTTATTTTCACATAGGTGACGAGTATAACAGAAGTGGTGCGGTCTTCCACAGGTGTGTTGCCTTTTGTTTGTTCATACACCCCATGGTCTTCCTTTGGGCAGTTTCTAAAGGGGGATCATCTTCTCATCAGACACTTTGCCAACTGAACGTGGGATTCTAGCTATTTATAAGAAGAGGTTAGATATCTTATCATAAGTTAACATTTTCGTATGATGTAAATGTATTTCTGATAGATACCTCCTCTCACATTTCCCACCCATTCTCCCCACTTAAGGTGTAGGTTTGGCATGTACTGCCCAATCTCAAAGTGATTACGGGCTGCATAGAGGAAAGAGCGCTAGTTACGATAGGAGTTGTCTCACACTCATATTGATGGAGGGTTGCTGCACTATAATTTGCATGACAGCATGCAGATGTCTGACGTGAATACACATGAGGGTAGGTGGGAGTACCAAGGCTAATGGCGAGTGAATATTTGCATTTATAGAGGACAGTATACATCGAGTAAAGCTATTTTTGAGTGGAGGTAAGTATCTATTGGAAATATATTTTCAGTGTAGAAAATGTTAACTTTTGGTAGTTTCTAAAAACACACACACAAACTAGGTGTGTAAGCCATAGAAGGATATAATACTCATTGACAGGGAGAACATAAAGGAACAGGAGAATAGCATTAATAAAATAGTGACATAGTTCACAGAAGAAAACAATAGTCATGCTCAAGTAGCCAGAAATTTTGTTCGCAGACAGGAAGAGATAATGAAGAAATGGGAGAATAATTTTAGGCCTAAAGTTAAAGAACAGTGCAATTCACTGGATAAAACAAACAGACTTGTACAACTTCCAAACTTGCTAAGCTTTGTTGAATTATGTATAGATATAAGGAATCTCAGAGTAAGAAGTGACTGATTTTTATGAAGTTTCAAGAAAACATTCAGACAAATAACCTATTTGAGAATATTGTAAATATGTTTTTGTGCTAAATATTTTTTATTTATTATATAAGGTCATCATGCTTTAAAGTTTCAAATATTAACTTTAGATTTAAAAAGAACCTTTATTTTTCTACATGTATCTATTTTTATAGTTACAAACAATGTTTACTTGTAATGAAAAAAAAAAAGATAATATTATATATGCTCATCTTAGGTTTGAAGGAGAAGACCTGCAGTTCGAGGAACGACTCAAACAACAAAGACAAGAAGTTCAAGATTGGCTTTCTCAACAGATAATGGAAAAGAAATCAGAGTTAGAAAAAGAGATAAAAGAAAAGGAACTGTGGGAAATGAAAATGCTAGAGCTGGATTACAAGGCCCAAGAGCTGCAACAACTACAAAAAGAATGCAAAAAGGCCATGGAAAAAGCTACTAGAGATTATAACATTGCTCTGGTAATTTTAAACTTCTTTGTTAAGAAGTGAAGAAATATCATTTGGTTCAGAGGAGTCAAGATTGAGAATTTATATAAATATTTTCTTTTGAAATTAAAACTTATCTAATATTAAAATTTGAATTTTAAACTTTGTTTTGATTTCAAGTCTATTAACATACATTGATAATATACACCTGGAAAAAAGTTAAGCACCCCCAAATATTTTTCAGGATTGCTTATTGAAAATAAGGTTTAATTTTCATGATGTTGAGCAATGTTCATAATTTCAAACATAATTAAAAGGATGTGAGCATTCAGGTGTGACATTTAAATCAGGCGCGTTTTTTTCCCCACGTGCAACTTGCTTCCTTCTTCACGTCCAATATGCACTATTTTCTCATGCATCAAATCCGTATTTAAGTCCCGAATTTCTGAATGCAAAATCATTTTAAGTAAGAATGGCAAGAAGACGGATATCAGAGGCGCAGAGATGGCAAATTATTGGCATGAATTCCGCTGCTATGTCCTACAAGGCGATAGGTAGACAGCTTGGCTATCATTACACAGTGATCAGCCGTTTGGTCAGAAAACATGTTGCCACCCAGAATGTTAAGGACCGTCCTCGATCTGGTCGACCATCTGTAACAACCCAACGTGAAGATAGGAGCCTTGGTAGATTGGTCAGACGAAATCCGTTTGCAACAAGCACCCGTCTTAAAAGACAGTGGTAATCTGTCAACCAGAACAGTAAGAAATCGTTTAAAATCTG